TATATGAAGCTCACACATGTTTTTCACACGTTTGATTTAAAGTAACACATGTAACTTCATCAAAGTTACTTTTGATTTAAGCCTGTGCAGAAGTTGGCTCTTTCAAGAAGCTAATTTACTGAAACCAATGCAAATATTTAATTCCTGAGGTTAGAGTGTCTTTTGTTTGCGTTTGTGATATTCTAATTAAAAGCAAATTCCCAGCGTGGGGTGGATGATCCCACAGAAGTGAGGATTCACCATCAGATCTCTGGACCGGTCCTGAGACTCATCCAAAGAAATTCAGTTGTGGGATCATGGTGGTCTACGCTGTATTTTCTGCCTTTGAGATATTTTTGTAAAATGTTTCAACAATACTTTGTGCAGTTGTGACAATAGTAGCGGAAAATCTACCTTATCCCAAATATTACAAAAATAGAGCACGAGAGCTATTTGCAGTGGGAACAAATGGAAAGTTAATGACATTAGAAAAACATACTGATGTTTTTGCATAGCTATGCGATAAAATATTTAGGTTAAAAATAAATCTGATGGTTTTAAGATTTAGTAGCACCCACAAGTGTAAAAAATAATGTCTAAACCCAATTTATTATTTTTCCCCAATGATATTGGAGCGTTTACTTTGAATTATTATTGTCATGTGTTCAGACAGTTTAGCTTCTTCAGATTTGCTGTTTGGGAATAAATTAACGAAAATATATTTGGGATTTAGAAAGTTTCATATCTCAGAATATACTAAATGTTGAGTTGTATCTAAATAAATGTTTTGTCCCCGGTCCAGGAAGAAATTTAAAAAAAAAAAAAAAATCAAAACAGATTCTTACTTTTGAGCAGAGACATATGTTTTGTGGGTTGGCACCAGACTAGGATGCAGAATCTTGTAGAACCAACTCTTCATACTCTAGGATATTTAGAGGAACAACATTCAAAACAAGGTGCTAGAAAATTTTAAAAAAAAAAAAAAAAACAGAGAAAATATATTTTCTTGAAGATGGAAAATGTCTGGTTTTGAGTCCCTTTGTGGCTGTCCCTTTATTTCTAGTGCCGTGCAGCTGTTTCTTTTTTGTTTCAGTGTCAGATGACATACCAGAATCAGATATTGTTAATAAGATAATGTGTTATTAAAAAGAAAATGTTTGATTTTCATTGGTAAAGTCACATTAATTGAAGATGAGATCATAGTGACTCCTTCTGGCTGTTAGGATGATGATCATAAAATTATATGAAGAAAAAAATAACAAAATGCTTGGGTGCCATTCAGCAAAACGAACAGGTCCCAAGAGATTTAGAAGATTCCCTTGACACATGTGGCTCAACACAGAGGAAACTTTTGTCCCTGTGATGCAATGTTCCCGCTCCTTCGAGAAGGCTTAGAGGTTTTCAGAACAAAAATTAATGATACCCTTACAGTCGCTGCAGTTGTTATGTGTGGGAGAAAGATGTTTAAATCTGATCAGAAATAATATCTGCAATGGGAGCAGAGTTTAAATATCTGGATATTGGTTGTGCAGTTCAGTGCTAACAGGAAAAAGAAAATAGCCCCTATTAACACAAAAGGAAAAGTGAGAATGATTTACTTGTCAGGGGGGGAAAAAAAAAATCTTTTCAGTGGCATTTAAAAAATCTGGGAAGATTTAGGTATGATTCAACTTCTTCAGAAAATTGAATGCTAAGTTTGAAGGGCAATTGATAGTCTCAACACTGAATTTCATGCACAAAGTTGCTTTTAGGGAAAACATATCACAGATTCTGAACCTCTTTGAAGAATAACACTTTAAAATGGCACAATGAGATGTTGCATTCATTTCCCTGTACTTGCTCCATATTACGTGTTCCCCTTTTAAAAAAACCCTGGTTTTTACTCCAGTTCTGAGTGCATCTTCAATGTTAAGATCTCCTTGTCAGCAGGTGTGCTTTCTGGTTTGTAACCACTGATAAGTATCTTCCATGCTGAACTTACTAAACAAATCTGTTGATGGATCCTGCTTTGGCTTCCGTACCAGTTTATTCCGCTGACTTTATTGGTTTGGCATAAAAAAAACCTAAGTAAAGTACAGCCAAAGCCAAGCACAGCTAACAAAAGAAGCGTATGTCATGGCTGTACAAGATGTGTAGCCCCATTTGAATTAAAAGTAATCACTTTGGGTTTAATGTTTGCATGGCCGACCTGAACGGTCGGTGTCTTAGATGGGGCTGTTTAGTGACTTTGAGCAGCTTATCAGCAGAACTTGTTGTTCGTCTGTTTGTTTCACAGGCTGCTTCTGTGCCCTTCGAGGTATTTTGTTAGCCTTAGATTATTTGAAACACTCTTTTTTTCATTCCTCTCCTGCCCCTCAGCCCTGTCTTGGACCATATCTGACAATACGGTGGCAGTCTGCTGGGGCAGCGTTGCTTTCCGTTCCTACACAGCAGCATTTTAATACTTTAATAGGGTCATTTTGTATCGGGAATTTTTTCCCCCATACCAATCCATCAACTCGCAGTTTGGCAAGCATCAAGTCACAGTGTACATCCAATTTCTTTTTCAGATTTTTTCATTAGAAAAAGAGAGTGAGCGTAATCACGGTATAGCCTATGCAATTCTATTTCAGAGATGGATCTGACAGTTATTTCTTCTGCAAGGATTTGAAATTTTAGAAGCACTAGGAGGAGCAGACAGTATCCATTTAAGTATTTGCTAACCCGCTGTTTTGCAGAAGAAGTTGACTTGAAAGATGTTTATTCTCAAGTGATAGAAGTTGGGGGGTTTGGATTGACCTCAGAAGAAACAAACACAGACAATCCAGATAAAGCATTGTCATAAAGCTGAGATGAAATAACTTTTTACATTGATAAAGGCAAACTGCAAAAACTTGGTGGTTTTGCTATTAGAGGTATTTAATTATTATGGTTTTAATGAATTGTCCACAGAACCTGCTAAGTGATCTGGTGATCCAGTCACCTTTACACACGTGTCCTGACTGCTGGCAATCAGATGTCCCAGGCCTGCAAATAAATAAATAGATTAATAGCATTTTAAAATATATATATATATTCAAGATGAATTAGTTGCCCGGGTTAACTCGAGGTGGATTGCTGCTGTGGTTGTACACTGTCAGGAATCAGCAAAAGGTTTTGCGTTACTCAGAGTTGGATTCCTTCGTAATACGAGAAAGACTAAACCAAGTGGAATCAACTGACTAGAGGGGAAAATTGTTTACATGGCAGAAGCTTTTTTTTTTTACTTGATTAGTCTTCTAGTTAATTACATCTGTTGATAAATAAGGATTGAAAGATTTCAAAGGTATTGCAGGTTATGTTAGGTTATCCAGGTACCTTAAGTGGGGCTTAATTTTGTATATACCGTGTGCGTAAGGGTGCGTTATACCAACTTGAGCCTGTTATCAAACTTTGCTCGTTTTACACAGCTATGCTTTGGAGTTCCTTCATTAAGGAAACGTTATCCAGAGCAGGGAATTGCCAAGACATTCTGGACAGCAGGAAACACCTTTTTACTGTGATGGTGGTTGGCCACTGGACGAGATTGCCCCAAGAGACTGTGGAGTCTCCATCCGTGGAGATGTGGAGTCCAACTAGACATGGTCCTGGGCCACCAGCCCTAGGTTATCCTGCTTGGGCATGTGGGGTGGACCAGATGTTCTCCAGGAGTCCCTGGCAACCTCAACTACTCTGTGGAAATTTTGTCACGGTTATAATAGACAACTAGTTTCTCTTTCAATGAAAGAAGTTGAGACCGGGGAGGGGGAGGTGGGGATAAATGACTGGTCACATGGTGATTGGCTACCGGCTGAGTTCAAACCATGGCAGTTTATTTTGGCACCCAACATGGGACCTGAGGGTTGAGATAATGACAGATCGGGTGATAATGTTTGTTGCTTGGCTCCTTAAGATTTTATCACCTCATTTGTCATATGTATTTCCCATTTTGTTTCTGCTGTACCGTAATGCTGATCTATGACATGATGCAATCATCGGTCCTGGGGCTATTTACAAATGTGTTTGAGAATTTCAGGAATTTCAAATATCCTTGGAATGTTGACAATAACATGGTCATCTTACTGCTAGGAGATAAGTGTATTCCTGCATGTGGTTCAGGTTTTGTTCAGGGTTAAGCAACTATATGAGTATCACCTGGAGATCTACCCCAAGGTTGGAGAATTATGAGTGGCTGGGGATGTGGAGTAGCATGGGCAAGTAGCTAGAACAGTGAGCACCTCTGGTGTAGTGGAACTTCACTCCTGAACAAGTGCAGAATCCTGAAGAACTAGTAAAATATTTGGAAAAAGTATGTTGTCACCTGGGTAATTCC